ATTCTGGGATATTGCATTTCGTCATTTCGAGCTGATTGGAGACCAAAACAGCCAATCAGATGTTTTTTGCATCCAAGTCTGTGATTGGCTGGTTTTGTGGCACAAACATAACGGTGTAGAGAAAGAGTTGAGCACGCACCGGCAGAAATGTTGAGAGCGCGAGCAACACATTGCGAGCAAGTGCAAATGCAAAAACTGAGCGAGAGGGGCTGCTATTGTGCGTGTGTGTGAATAATAGCAAACACTGAAATACATTTTCTGCACGCAGCAATGAATTCTGTTCACTCAAATTCAGCTTTTCTTTGCTCAAAATAAATTTCTCCTCAAAATGCAACACTTTTTTTTACGTGCGCTCAGAATAGTAGCACAAAAATAACGCCATATACTTGGGCAAGGGATGTCAAAAACCCATTGTATTTCAAGACCCACATAAACACTTTAAACTTTAAATTAGTTTAAATTGTTATGTTTGTATTTCAATACATATTTTGTGCATTTTTAATCTTGCAGTGAAATATTCCTATTGTATTTAAAAAATAACATAAAAACGACGTAGCTCTGCAGAGTGATACTTTTCTGTTAGCATAAAAAAAAAAATCATTTTAGGAATGCATATGTTGTCTTTTTTTCCAATGATGGCATAATAAAATAGCCACTAAGACTTCCTTGTTTCTTGCCACCCATGTAAAACTGGCATTGTTCTTTCAATTGCAGGAAAACAAGTTAAGGAAATGAACACTTAAAAGTTTGAACTCATGGCTTCAGTCATATTTGTTGTGCTCAACTGCACTCCCCAGGGGATCATCAACAAGAAGTGAATCGTTTGCATAGTTTTACATGCCCATTATCTGTATAAATTTAAAAAAAAAAACAAACAAAAACAAACAAAAACAAAGTGTAAGTGTGAACCGAAAACAGCATCCTACACATACAAGAAAAAAGTTGATATTCCCGATTGTATCAATAGTTTATTACATACCATCTCATAAAAACATTTTCAACTTTTTCCACATATAAACACCGCAAATTGGTACATTTACAAATCTTCAACCATCCAAATTCATACAAAAAAGGAACACTGTGATAGAGCAATACACAAGACGGTCTATTATTACAAGGACGGCATGTACTGTGTGTATGTATGCATGTATAAACCTCAGCATGTAAGAATCTCTGTGCATGTGCGTTTGGCTATAAAGTCCAGATATTGTGATCAAATATTTACTTTGATCAAATGTGGATTAAAACCAGTGGAGACACATATACAAGTTAAACATTTTGGATGTCAACCTGATTTAGGCACTGGTGACAGGCTGATTAGGAATGAGGTAACCTGATCAGCCGTTGGGTAATACTGACACCACAGTAATTTACCAGTGTGTGACTTCTCAGAATAAAATGTTATCTACATTAAGGACCTTTTCCATCGCTGTATTACAGTTAAAAGTTAAGTTTTAACCACAGAACAAGAAATTTTACTAGATATTCCTAACTCACCCTAAATCAATTCATGTTTACTGTATGACACAAACCACAAAGACACCCCTTATTTTTAGTTTTTCTTTTTTCCTTTTTTTTGTCGCCATGATGCTAGTTTCAAAAAAAGTGAGTCAAAAATGGTCATGCACACACTCACACAGGCGCGCACACACTCACACATACGCACATGCAAATAAATTAACATGGAAAAAAGTAAACAATTTCCAAATGACAAAAAAGAAAAAGAAAAGAAAAGAAAAGCAAACCCCAAACATCTTTTTGGTTGGGTTTTAAAATGTGTGGCTAAATGCAAAAAATACATAAGATAGCAGCTTAAATCATGGTACATTCACATGAGTTGTTTACTACTACTAAACTTAGTGGCATAAACAAGGTAAAAGTATTCATGGTACACATGTTCCAGACTGATCGTGCAGAGTGGAGACCGAGGCTAAACTGAATATTGATGTGCAATTTCGGAAACCACAATGTGACTGAGAAACTGTGCAATCAAAGAAAAGAAATCTCGTGTCCTTCTTGTGAATTAGCAGTTTGCACGTCGTGGATTCACATCACAGCGGTCGGCTTCTCCTTCACTGGGATTTTCTTTGACGTAAGAATCCCGCTGTTGTTGAATCGAGGCTGTCTGCTTCGGTTACAGCGGTGGTTCACGGAGGACGTATTAAGATGCAACGAGCTCCGATTTTTTTATTTCAGTGTGGCTTCTTTACTGTCACCTCACTTTGGGCTGGGAACATGCGGAGAAGTCCCAGATGCCCGGGACTGAGGGGAGCTCTGGTAGGTCCGCAACAGCACTTTGTGCTTGGTGGCTTCCTCTGTGCGACGGCTTTGTTGTTCCACCAGGAACTCTTTAAGTCGGCTGGAGGTGAAGGTGAGAGTCTGTCTCCTGAGCTTCATCAGGTAGGAGTCCTGCAGCCAGGCAAGTGTGAAGCAATCTTTTGTAGTCGGGCGGGCCCTAAAAAACATATTAGGTAGCATTTGATATTGTTCTTGTTTAAAAAAAAACTTAGAATCAACTTTTTTTAAATGATAATCACCATGGGTAACTGCTCAACATCTTCTTGAGAAATGCAGAGGCACTTTGAGACACATTTGGGTACAGTTTCGTTGGGTCAAACTTGGCCATCAGGATTTTGGATTCAACATGCTGAGGGTCCTTATCTTCAAAGGGGAGGTGACCACTAAGCCTGGTTGAAGAGACATGGAAAAAATAAACAGTCAGGTTGCTTATTCCAAAATGTAAATATACAAAACATCGTATTGGTCCATCCATTCGCTTCCGCTTATCCTTTTCAGGGTCGCGGGGGGCGCTGGAGCCTATCCCAGCTGTCATAGGGCGAGAGGCGGGGTACACCCTGGACAGGTCGCCAGTCTGTCGCAGGGCCAACACACAGGGACAGACAACCATTCGCACTCACATTCATTCGCACATTCACACCTAGTGACAATTTGGATTTTCCAATTAACCTATCCCCACAAGCTGCATGTCTTTGGACGGTGGGAGGAAGCCGGGGTGCCCGGAGGGAACCCACGCAAACACGGGGAGAACATGCAAACTCCACACAGAAAGACCCCGGCCTGATGTTGGAATTGAACTCAGGACCTTCTTGCTGTGCGGCAACAGTGCTAACCACCGTGCCACCGTATTGGTTTGACTGAATTTAAATACAAGTCATCCTATTCACTCTGGCGTTAAGGGTAAAGGTCATTAGTGGCACGAAGTAAACACAAAACTTACATAATGTAGGTGACAATGCCAACAGTCCAAATATCTGCAGGAGGACCAACCACTTCGCCTTTCACCATCTCAGGAGCTTGGATCAAATTTATCAGAGGATGAAAATTTAGAAAAGATTTTTTTTCAGATTTAATAGAAAATCCTTCCATCGAAAATATTAAGTATGTAGAGCCTGCATCTCTTAATCCTTACCCATGTACTCCAGCGTTCCTGGTCCTGATTCCTGCTGCTTGAGGCTGAGGGGGTTGAAGGTCTGCGCACTCCCCAAGTCCACAATCTTGATGGCGTTGAGGTTGGTCACCATGATGTTGTCAGGCTTGAGGTCCAGATGGAGGATGCGGCGGTTGTGGAGGTACTCGACCCCCTGGACAATCTGGACCAGGTATCCCACCACATCGTCTTCAGAGTAACGAAACCTTTTTGTCAGTGAAAGAGGAGGTTCACATGCGATTATAGGACACAGACAGGGAGAGTTCAAGCAGCATATCCTGAATAAATTAATGCTAATTTAAATTTAAAGTGTTGAGAGATTGATAAAAGACTGATTCATTGCCAGCCTACATCACCTGAGAGCTCAGCTGATATGCTTTTATGCAATCAATCTCATTTAGGGCATATTTATTTTATATCTTCAAGCCACTTTGCAACCCACTCCACTCCTAGCTTATCTCTGCTGCTCCCGAATACAGCCTTGTTGTAAAATACAACTTAAAGCAGAATCAAATAACAACCTCCTTTTCAACCTTAATGACTCCAAGTAAGAATCTTCTTTCCAGACTCCTGCTATGCAGGTTTGTCTGAGTTTGTGCGTCAGTGTGAGTCAACATATCCACCATCCTACCTGTCTATAAGGCTGTATAGCAGCTCTTTGCCAGTGCAGTACTCTGCCACCAGCACCAGGTAGCGTGGTGTGATGTAGGCTTCGTGGAGACCCATGACTTTTTCATTGTGAAGAGATTTCAGGATTTCATACTCCTTCAGGATCTCCTGCTTGTTCTCTTGAATGTAGGGAATGATCTTTGCCATGTAGATTTTACCCGTCGCATTCTCTCTGCACTCTCGGACGACTCCAAACCGACCCCTGCCAATGATAAGTCCTGATTACTTTGCACAACGCAAATAAAAGCTTGACCATGTGCATAGATTTTTTCTCAAGTTATAACTTTCAGAGTAACGTCAAACAAATATAAATTCAACAGCAGACTCAACATCTCTTTGATTCACCAGCTTCTGAATTTCTTGTTATTCTAACTCTGATGTTTTTTTGCAAGATTTGTCTTTTTTCCCCAAAAGGACAATATATATATCTCACCTCGCTTTCTCATCTAGGAAAGTGTACGGTTTCTGTGGAACTCCCTGTCGTAGAGCAGTAGAGGGTGTAGCGCGTCCCGATGGGGTGCCTCTGGCGGGGGTACTGGCTCCATCACCGATGGGACTCAAGCTGGAGGTCTGTAGTACTTGTGGTGTAAAGGACACCGGAGTCGGGGCCACACGAGCAGTAGCAGTGATCGTGGGGACATATGTGGGTACTGAGGACACGGTTGGTTTTGTGGGGGTTGAAGGTGGGTTTACAAGAGAAGGTGGGGGTAATACAGCTGCAGTCTGTGTCATAGGAGTCACCACATTTACTGGACTCTGAGGTTTGGGGAGGACAAAGGGAGAGGTTGCTTTGGAGGTGGCTGATGAAGGGAGAGTGGGGCTTATTTTTTGTGTGTCATCCACTGTTGCACCTGCAGATGGCAACAAAGGGTTTGTTGAAGGGCCGGAAGGCAAGGAGGTTAGAGGGGTAGGCGTCACCACAATTTTAGATGATGGAGAAGCAGATTGAAGAGAGGATGCATCAGTGAGGGCTTCATGTTTTGGAGTAGAGGAAGTGGAGGTGATGGTGGAGACCGTTGATCTGGGAACGCTATTTTGGACTGGTTTGTGTGAAGGGAATGTCACTGAGGAGGTAATCACAGGCGTAGGTGGGGTTGGGGCTGTCTTTACAACAGCAACGGTAGGTGAAGCTCCTCCAACTGTGAAAATAGAGTGACAGATTAAATACATGAATTATTTACTCAGTATATTAGCAGCTTTTACCAAACTACATTTTTTAAACATGTTGTTTGTTGCGTAGCTTTCTTACATTTGTTTGTGTTTGGTTTGAGACAATGTATGTGGTCTGGATGCATTTCATACTATGCTGTGGCACTACCAGTTAATGAAAATACAGGATTTTCATGATTTTGTTATAGACTGTATATAAAAAATGGAAGGAGCTGCCACAAGTTAGCATTTTGACTCTCAAAGTCTTGCTTAGTTTTAAACCAGATATTATAGAAAAGACTGGATCTGACTGAAAAGCATCGGATACTGATCCTAGGGTAGCATCTTGTCAATGACAGACTTACCAGGTCTAAAATCAAGATAAAGACACCCCAGAAGAACCCCCAAAATCAGACAACTACACAGCAAATTCAAAAGTGTTAAATGTTTTGGTGTTAGTAGTCTT